CCGTGATGATATATTACTTATCTTTTACGTATAAATATACACAACTACCTTGTATAAATACAATTATCAAGAGTGCGACGAGACGAACACGTAATTTCCCATCTTTTGATTTGCATTAATATATAAAACTGAAGCACTATGCATAAAAATCAATGGTCGACCCAATACACTTCTTCATCGCTGGTCTTTTGAGCGCGACGGTGTCCAGGTAGCACCTCATGTCTCGATAAAGTCACATGCATCTGAGGTTGCGAGAACCGAATACTTGGTACTAATTTGTTTTCCCTGGTTGCGTGGCAATCTGCCATGGCCAGCAGAGGTTTGTAATATCTGGCACCAAGCAAAATAATCGATGCATAAAGCGCATGCGTCTGGAGCGGGTATTTGTTAACCAAGCGTCTCGACACTAATGATTTACGATAGATATTGACTTGGAAAGAAAACAAATAGAGAGCCCGAAAAAATAAAACGCGCGCCAGGCGTGCAATCCATAAGCGATGACGCGCATTGATTCCCACGCACGTTTGTAAAAGCAACGTTAACAATCGCGGGAACAATGAAAGCAGATTGAACGTTGCTGGATCCGATTTTGCAGATTAGTCAATTTTTATCGTTAATAATAATTGAATAATCAGAAAGGGATAGTATCGATATTTTAATGTTATCGTGAGTGTTTAAAAGTTCGTCGATTATTGAGGTTTATCAATATTCTTTCTTGATACGCGTCGCAACAAGTACGGGAAGAAATGAATTTAAATTTATATTTAAAAAATATATATTAAAATGATAATATATATATATATTATATATATACATATATGTTAAAAATTATAAGAATTTTATAAAAATAAGTGCAAATAATTCTATACACATTTACGAAGAATTTTGGCGAATACGATATTTGACTTGTCTACGTAGTTATAAAAAAATATATATATGTTCTTAATAACTATTATACGTAGACAAGTCATTTCTGCATTCGTCAAAATTCTTCGTAAATATGTATAGAATTATTTGCACTTGTTTTAATAAAATTCTTATCATTTTTAACATGCTTTCGAGAATTAAATTACAGATATCGTAATACTTTTGCCATGTTGGCCATGTGCAATAGTGTAACTTTAATAATTAATTATCCGACCATGCAGACAATCGTCTTGAACTTTCGCATGGACGACAGATTCCCATAGACGAATATTTTCTACAAATTTGAATTTACTTTTATCATTTTTATTTCAGCAACCACCCTCCTTAAACGACGTTCGTATTCTCGTATCGTCGCATTGAATCTCTCGTCGCGCCGAGTATAATTTGTTGGCTGCTTCTAATTGTAAGACGAAAGCGCGAAATAATAGACAAAATATTGAATCGAGTGCGATTTCAACTACCAAAACCTTAAATTGTTGAGTAAAGAATGCCGTCCCGTAGTTGCAAAGATTTAGATTCCCTTTCATTCTCACGAAAGCTTTATCAGCCACTGAAAAGAAAACTTTCGCTACCATAGCTAATCATGGTTTGCTTGAAATATTTTGCTGCCATAACTACAAATTTCTAAACCGCAGCAAACGGTTTGCTCTCGCATCTAATACAATAGGCACACACACAGAAAAATATATACTACCTGCAAGTGAAGATTATTTGTTCCAAGTATTTGATAAGTTTATATATCCGCAAATCTATCATAATGTCGTCGCAAGTGTTATATTTACTCAAAACATATTCTGGTTCTTAGTAAGTCTAGTACTTGAAACAAGAATACATAGAATTATTTGAAGCAAAACAATTTTGTTTCTTCTGATTTTATTAAAAGAAGCATACGGAATTCTTGAATAAGTTTTATAATTTTCTTCAAAGAAGAATAAATTCTTTCTTTGAGTATAAGATGGCAAGCTTTTCTAAGACTAGTAACAAGTGTATCTTAAAACTATTATTAAGAAAATATTCTTTGTTGAAGCAAACTATTACTTAAACGGAATAAAATTAACCGAGTAATTACTTTTCTTGACTGTACAATAATATTTTTCTGTGTGCAGTAGCAAGATATTTAGCTGTCACAGCTAAATATTAGCTGTCCATATTTTACAACTGAAATTTAGTTGCCGCAAACAGTCTTTAGCTACGGCAACTACATTTTTCTTTCCGCGAGGGAATTTCATACACACTAGGTATATAATTTCGTAGACGAGACAACGAACTCTCAACGTTCGTTGTTGTTTTTCTTCTCACGCGGTATCGTGTGACGTTACGCGGGCCAAGAAATCGATAATTTCGGTTAGCATAGCGGTATGTGTTTTTTGGTATATGTTTACAACATTCCGCTATTACGAAGGTCTAGTCGAGCCGCCGGCCCGCGCCGCGTATTGAAGGTCGACGCGCTAGCATTCGCTCGCCGAACGTCGAGCCGGCCGGCAGTGCCGCGAGTCGCTCCGCGCGTCGCATTACTTTTACGTTATCGATTTCCGAAACGCGATCGCGCCACGGGAATAAACTCTATTAATTCGTACGCCTTTATCAGTAACAAGTAAGTTCATCGATTAATTGTTAACTTTCTACACCCGTAAAGAGAAGCAAATTACATGTCGAGGCGACGACGGCTCTTTGTCAATTCGTGCTTGGCGAGTGCGTCGCTCGCACAATTCGTTTCGCGTGAGGACTAGATTGACAATTCGGATTGTAAAATATCGTTTCGTCGTGAATTAGCAACTACGCCTTTCGCCAGATGCTTCGATTCCGACACCCGCGTCGTATTTTATATCGCGACAGTGATTTCCTCGTTGCTACTTTCGAATCGAGAACGCAAAATAGCATGCGAGTTGCCGGCTCGAATGGTTATAAGGTTAGGTTAGGCGCGACGGACAGTGCCGCGAGTCGCTCCGCGCGTCGCATTACTTTTACGTTATCGATTTCCGAAACGCGATCGCGCCACGGGAATAAACTCTAGTAATTCGTACGCCTTTATCAGTGACAAGTAAGTTCATCGATTAATTGTTAGCTTTCTACACTCGTAAAGAGAAGCAAATTACATGTCGAGGCGACGGCTCTTTGTCAATTCGTGCTTGGCGAGTTCGTCGCTCGCACAATTCGTTTCGCGCGAGGACTAGATTGACAATTCGGATTGTAAAATATCGTTCCGTCGTGGATTAGCAACTACGCCTTTCGCCAGATGCTTCGATTCCGACACCCGCATCGTATTTTATATCGCAACAGTGATTTCCTCGTTGCTACTTTCGAATCGAGAACGCAAAATAGCCTGCGAGTTGCCGGCTCGTATGGTTAGGTTAGGTTAGGCGCGACGGACAGTCGTACGGACAATACTTCGCGCGTTTGGCGGTATTTCGCGTCGCGTACGGGAGTGTCACGCATAATTTCGCGCGATCGCGATCGTAGTGAATCGTTCTCGCGAGTGAACATTGTGTGAGTGCAACAAGGAGATCTGAGAGGATGAGAGGAGGCCTGGGGGGCATCGGGCAACGGCGGAGCAACCGTGAGGTGAGTGTTTTATTTTATATATATATTATTTGCTGCCTGCAAAATTAATATCTACACGGAAAGAACAATGTAGCTGCGTAGCTAAAACTTAGCAAAATAGGGACAGCTAATATTTTTAGTTGTGATAGCTCAATATTTTGCTACGACAGCAAACCGTTTATACAATAGGCACAGTAGCAAAATATTGAGCTATCACAACTAAAATATTAGCTGTCCCTATTTTGCTAAGTTTTAGCTACAGCAGCTACATTGTTCTTTCCGTGTACTCTCTGTCTTATTTATTCGAACGACTTGAATAAAAATTACGCGCAAAAATATGTGTACGTTGAAATCTTGTGAGTTCGTATTTAAAAGAAAGAGATTTTCTCAAGTGCTTTATAAGTATTTTACTAAATATCTATTTAAAGAGTATATAAAATACTGAATGCAACAATTTCGACTTTAAATCATTATTCTATAATAATCGTATGTCGTATATTTGTATTGTGCAGATCAACGTAGTTTACGATGCAGCCAACTCCGCTGTTGCGCTTCGTTTCGGTGAGTGGTAAACTATTTATTTCGAGGGGGAAACCGCTGACCAAAATGTTGTACACCAATGCCCACTAATGCCCAGTGGCAATTTATCTTATTTGTCTTGTGCTATCTTATTTTATCTTATTTTATCTTTATAATGCCCCAAGTAATACCCAAAAATTGCCCAGTAATGCCACAAATCTGTACACCACAATGCCCTCAGCGGTTTCCCTCTTGATTTATTTAAAAAATTTTATACCGGCTCGGTTATATACAATATCAAAGTTGCATTACATCTACATTATGCAATGAAGGAAATATTCATATATATCAAGTGTGTTGATGTGAAATGAAAAGAAATTGTGTTTGTACAAGTAAAATAGGCCAGGAAAAAAATTTATAATATCTGTATTAATAATTGATAGAGAGTGAGCGAAAGAGAGGCGTAGCGCAACGCTATGTTCTAGCGTTATCAAATTGTCGTATCTAAAAATACGAACGACAGTTAACTTTCATCTGACGCTACCCTGTAAACGCTTATTTAATCTTGCGGCAGCTAAAAGAAATATATGGAACTACGAGGTGCGGGAAAAGTGACAGGTGCCGTTGTTAAAAATTTCGCCGATTACTGAGGTTTCGCGAAAATTCTTGGATCTCTCGCGAATTTCCAGGCGTCGGTTCCGGAAAATGACGTAGCGTCGTAAACACTTTGGTCGAGAACAGTCTGTTCTCATTGTGCCTAAAAATTCACGCGGTGACAGTCGAATGAGTCGGTTAGCGGCCCGCGCCGATCCTCGTATTATTCTTTCTTGACACGCGTTCGCGATAAGTAAAGGAAGAAACCGCGATCGCTCTTCGTGAATATCATCGCGTGATCGCTGAATCCTCGCGAATTACCATCGATGCTCGGTTAATCGGTGCAATACATATCTCGCGCGGTTCACACATGAAATCTGTTGCGTCGAAAAATCAAAGCGCTAGCTAACTCGAAATTACTTCCTCGTTGCGATAACAACGGACGATAATTGTTTCGTCAAACGATGTTCGTATTCTCGTATCGTCGCGTTGAATCTCTCGTCGCTTCAAGTTTAATTTGTTGGCTGCTTCTAAATCGAAAGTATTCTAGCCTAAAGGCCAGATCGGGAGGGAATATCAGAAGTCTTTCTGATTTCGTTTCTTTTCAATTGAGATCCTCTATCAATTCGGGGGCGTGTAAGAGTCGCGCTTCATTCTCGCAGCCAAAGTCCGTGTTATGTGTTCTGCGTATATTTGAAGGTTCTAGCTTTCTCTCTTTTTAACTTTCGACCTCTTGGCCGCGAACACGTAATTCGCAAATCCGTTTCCTTCAGTTATACACTGAAGTTCCGAGTTTATTCACACTTATGATCATTTCAGCCGCCAAAAACTTAAATTGTTCAGCAAAGAATGCTGCTCGGTAGTTGCAAAGATTTAGTTTCCTTTTCATTCTCACAGCCAAGATTGATCCTTGCGAAAGCTTTATCGCGGAATTACATACATGGCATTTTGGCAGAACAAGTTCGTAAATAATTTTCCTGTCGCTTTTCCTTCGAAAACGATCAGATTGACAAAAGTTATTTGTTCCAATTTCTTTAAAATAGTATTGCATAATTTTATTGGACGCTTAAATTTAATTTATAAGTGTTAAGTTTAAATTAATAAACTTGCGTATAGATCCATTTTTAGATCTATATGTATACGTAAAATATTTATTAATGTAAACTTTACATTTGTATGTATTTACTGGTAATTGCATGCACTGGTGAATATGCGATTAATTCATGCATCACGTGAAAACTTTTACACACATCGTAATCAGGCAAACAGAAAGAATCCCCTGCCTATATGATAATGTCGGACCAAAGCAAAAATTTTTCTCAGCATTTTATTAACCAAAACGGACTGGCAGTATTGTCACGTCACGTATTACAGCGAGCAGACAGTTGAATAACTAAGTTACATTGATAGCTTTCGGGAGATGCTAATGTCACGAATAAGCAAGGATATTCATCGGTGGCGTAACTTGAAATGCAATTCCCGTAATTATAAATGAAGGGTTAAATTTATTAATTTGGCGTTTTACGATAAGAGCCTGCTCTCTAAAATTTGTGGAGTGAAAATACAGCGGAGTGAAATGTTCACCCTATTGGCGCGAATATTTCCTCCAACAGAGTGAATATTAACTCCAGTGGAGTAAACATTTCACTCCACAGATTTTAGAGAGTGACAACACATCTTACGCATCTTTTGCAAAAGGAAAGTTACACCACCGAGAGCGTACAATGCGGCGGTCTCGCGGGTAACATGATGAATTAACAACAAATAAATATATCTGTAATATATGTATAATAATAGATTATACAGTGCGATACTCATGGGGCTTACATTGAGTTAGCTTAAATTACAAAAATACGCAAAGGCACTTGGTAAAAATCTTCCGTTCCTCGGCTGAGAGAAACGCTTGGGGGGGGGGGGGGATAAATCCTTAAACTGAAAATTCACACAGCATGTTCGTCGCATTTGACGCTACGATCGAATTAATTGCACGACGATGATAACGAAGAATGCCGGGGGAGACTCGTTGAGCTTTCATTTGGATCGTCAAGAGTCAAAATACTTTTCCAAGTATATTTACGCAACGGGAGAAAGGAAGTCCGTAATTTACTACCGTAATGCGAAACGTTAATTTCTTGCGTACATAGTCTAGGGACAATGAAACGTTCACACGAGTAGGGCAGAGTTGCATTCGAGCATTGTTCCCGTTCATGTAGGTGTACAGAGAGTTTCTATGCACTCGGATTTTACGCTACATTCGTATAATTCGGATACACAGGCATAGAGATCGCAGAAAATAGACAGCTTTTATAGACACTCTCCTTAAAGATTCAAAAAGGATATCTCTCTTCAGAAGACTATAGTTTCGGGCGCGTACGCTAACCCACTTCCTTACGGCGTGCGCGAGGAAAACACGCGACGTGATAGATCGCATTTTCATTGCGGCGGAAGATTGCACACAAAATGCCGCGCAAAGTATGTCCTATATCAATATTGGTATCACACATATCGGTATAAAATAATGGATTACAAAATAATTCGAATATTCGATTAAGGAATTTACGGAGTCAGACCTCAAACCGCTAATTAAAAGTTACCTTACGCGCGTTTGCACAACGTTGAACGTATCTGGAATTAAAATACGCAATCGATGTAATTATCCATCGTGAGATACGGATGATAAAAATTATGCACGCACGCGCGACGCACAGAATTCGCTCAATAGTGTAGGAAACATTTTAGCAACATATATATAGGCAGCTTTACACTATATCTTTTCTAACCGTAACAAACACGTTAGATAGCAAAGTAACCTCATGACTTTTATGTACAACTTAATGTCAAGTAACATTAGCGTATTGCATCAAGTTGGCCTTATGCACGATAACGGGCTGCGGAAAGCCCATTGGAACGCGAGAAATTAATGGCACTGGCGATGCAAGCCAATTTAGCGATGCGAGAATAGCGGCGGTATTTTGTTTGCAACGCCGTCACGTGGTAGAATCGACACTCGTCAACGGAGGGATTACGGATGTACACGTTGTACATGTTTATATGGAACATGCCTGCACGAGTATACGCCTATACGTAAGCTTCGTATATACATGTACTAAATGAAAAGATGAATTGGTTTTATCATACAGTATCGTAAATTTAATGGCGATCGTTTCTCGCCGTGGTCCAGTTTGAATCCCCCTCCTCGTCGTTACGATCGATTTGAACTGTTGATTGCATTATCAAAGATCGCCAGATTCAGCGTCACTCATAATTACGTAGAACTGAAAATGCACGAATCGGTTTTGCTAAAGCCTCTTCGTTAACAAGCGTAGAATGTTAACGGGAGACAAGATGAGGTAATAAAATAAATAACGAGAAACGTGCAACGGAAACTTGTCAGAATATTAATTGCTTTAATCTGAAATAATTTTTTTTTGTAAAATTGTCTGTAAATATGTCGCGAGTGATCTGAATATCCGGCATTGCTTGAGTAAGGTCTTGAATGGTAATTTAATAGCGCTACTTAATCTTTCGAACGAAAGGAGGACGAAGTTTACGCCGAGAAAGTTACTGAAAAGCAACGCTCGGTCTTTCACACCTGAGACTAAAAGGGTTAATCACTCACATTTCTCACGAGGTAATTCTAGTTAAACGAGCGTGGAATCGAGCGACATTTTCTTCTCAAATACCGTGCGCGTTAATTTTCGCTAATTGGCACTTTGTTAACCCGATGCTAATTGTATCCATTTTGGTCCACGGACCAATTCGCCCTTCCTATAGGATTACGAGATACCCTCGTAAACGCTATCAGCAGCGAAGACTCGGCGTTTGATTCTAAATTGTTTAACCTACATACATATTGTTGTCAAAGAGATGCATCCGTTCCGCACATTCAGACTACATTCTCGCGATTCTTCCCCGACGCGCGAAAATTCCCCCGAGTCGCGAGATCTAATAAAGTTTCCGTCGGGAAAGAAGTTCCTTGAGTCATGTCGTACTTACGTACTAATAAAACAGTAGTCGGGCAGCCCAACTGCGATTTTTTATCGCAGCGACTTAAAGTACATGGAGGTTCTCGCAATTCTTGAATTTGCTGTCTTCTTTGCCGAAGAGCCAAGTCAGCATCTGCCTGGCTTTCATGCTGGCGCGCACGACGCCCCTCGACTTGTACCAATGAGCGCTACCTTCGCTCCCGCCGCTGTTTCGGTTCTCCTGGTTACCCTGGACCACCTTCAAACGTATCTGGTTGAGTATGCCAACCAGAAGCTCGTCAACGTTGTGATTGATGCCCACCGACACTTCGATAAACTTGGCGCGATAAGTGCACGCCAAGCATTTCCCATCTACACAGTTCGGAAATTCGGGACAAAGAATTAGAATTGAAATCGAGGAGTGTTTAAATTATTACCGCGTTTAATATTATCTTTAATAGAGATACGTTAATAGAAAACTTCCGAAAAGATTTTCGTTTCTCGCAATAGACAAGTGAACCGATGAGATCTTATAAATATGACTCTTGAACCCAGAACTTTTTACTAATAATGTAAAATTTTCTTTTACAACATATAACATTCATGCAAATTTTATATTTATATAAAAAGATTAATTATCTGAAATAAGCGACACACACACACGCGCGCGCACACACACACAGAGACACGGTGATCTTATTTTTATTTTAGAATTTGCCTGATGTACCATATCATGTTAACTGAACGTTCAGTTTTATAAAGTGTCACAAAACCGCCTAACCATGAAAAAGTGTGTGTGTAAAAAAGAAAGATGTTCCGCCTCTCTCTTACCCTGGGGCGAAACCACTCTGGAACGAACCAAATCGACCTTGTTCCCGACCAGAATAGCCGGTCTACCACGAAGAAGATCTTGATCGTGAAGTCGAGCGAGATATTCTTCAGCCCTTTGAAAGGACGCCTTGTCGATTACTGAATACATTACGACGAAGGCGTCTGGCAATGGCATTTTTTCCAATTCGGTCTGCGTCAAATTTATTAATTAAAAATACATAAAAGTCTGTTTACTCAATTTCAAACAAAATATAAGTAAACAAACGTTTATTTGATATTGCGCATTATATATAATGTATAAAAGTACGAACTTCTTTCTCCTTACCTTAAGATTAGTGATATTTAAGAATTTAAGCTCGCTTTCTTCGCCGTTCAGCATCACAAAAACGGATTGCTCGCTCGGCACATCTGCAATAAGAATAAAAAATTAAAGCTGACGATCCCCTTGAGTATCTCTCAAAAAGAATATTTTATGGTTGATTCAACATTCTAGGAAGTCTTGGCGAAGACAAAAATATAGGGAACATTAGATCGTCATAAAAAAATTGTTCCTTTGTGTCTAAAAAAACTTATCTCTGGAATATATTTCCAAGGAAAGAGCTTATAGCAACATCTCATTTTCTTTTCAAACAAATAATCTAGTAATATAAATCCTCTTCTCTTCTATCAGATTTTCAATTAAATAATAAAATTAATTTTGATATTATTGCTTCGTGTGAATTACAACATAGTAATATTAGAATCCATCGTAGTTGAACTATTACTCTCTTAATGTCTTGCATCTTCACGCTTTCTTTTCAACTATACAGATAAAAATAAAATAGACAGAACTATCTCACGATTCGCCAACTCGTTTATCTCTTTCTGTCTATTTTTATTTGAAATAAATGTGGCGATGAAAAAACGATCAACGTCACAAATAAATCTATTTCACGCACGAGCGAGAAACTGTTAGACAAAATGTTGTCGCAAATAGGACGAGAGATGGTCGACGCAATCTTATGGCTCTAAATGCGTCTACGGACTGCCTGTCTATAGCATTGCCGATTGATTTTAGCCCGCTAACGAAATATCGCCCGTCAAAGAATCGGGGTGTCGTTGTCCTAACCAATTTTTTTCGACTGAACGGCTCTCGCTTCTCTAGAGATGCAGTTCCGCAGCTGCTGACGGGTGTCATAAATAACAGACGTTTCTGCACGGGCGTCAGATACATAGAGCAAGGGACAATAAATATTACAATCGCATAAATCTTCAAACTTATATCTCATTTTCTTGCTTGAAACATTTTAGAGCTACTAAAATGAATCAATTTCTAATTGATCAGATTATAAAAATTTGTATATTTTATATAGAAATTACAATTATATGTCGGCTTTAAAAAATCAGTACCAGAGAGAATATATCGTCTTTTATTTAAATTAAAATAAAGCTCTTTATGATAGATAATTAGCAGAAAAAGTTTGATACATTATAAAAACATGTAGCCTCTTGTTTGTGTTCCGTATAATTTAAAAGTACGATTCAAGCGTATTTTGAAATAACTACAGCAAACAAATAATTTAATTATACCAAATCTTGTTAATCTCAAACTATTTTTTACCGTTTTAACAATCATTCATACGCTTGTGCGTATTATTTTACATAAAACATGAAATCTATTGTCTTTTCTCCGTCCAATCATTCCAGTTTGTTTTCCTTCCTTTCAAGTACTAGTTTGTAATTCTATATTCGAACAGTATATGCATACATTAAAGTAGAAAGCGCACATTATGTTTGTCCAGAATTAAGGGGACTTGAAATAATTACTTAGGTTTCATCACATAAATTGAGATATGTTATTATAGTATTGCATTGTGCGCGGTGATAAAGGTAGTATTTAAACAAAGAGAAAACTTTAATTAGATTCCCCCCGCCGAATATCTAACTCGCATCAGTTTGTATATGAGATACGTGCGCGCACAACGTTTTTAATATTTTATTCTCTTTCCTTCTTTATTTCCAACTCGTTGAATGTTCCCGTACGCATTTGAAGCAACCATGCATATGGTATTATTTTGTTAAATTAAACAAAATCATTCCAATAACGTTGAATAAATAAGTAACTTTTGAATTTGTAATTTTTCTGCAGTCAGCGCATAGATGAACAGACTATATTCTGTTCATTAATAATTAATATATCGATTTCGTTCAGTGAAAGGCAGAAGAAAATACGAAGACAGGTAAAAGGTGAAAGAATCATAAATGTGAGGGAAAATTATAATTTGACGAATAATAATATTTCGATAAAAATTTTACCAAAATAATGGTCTGCTATCGAGGGATACGCGATTGAAATTTTTGTACTCCACCGAAGCTCGTGCAGCTTTGTCTTATATCGTTCTTTTCACGACATTCCGCAATAAATTTCCGCAGCAGCGAAGTATTCTTTGAAACGTAGCCGTAAATTTGCAATGTTGCGTATCGCATGCTTGACTGTTGCCAGAAAATGGAGGTTAACGGTCAGACAGTTAGAGTAGACAGATAGTTTCGCGAAAACAGGAAAGAAAGAATGGCTGGAGAAATTCACTTCTCGATCGTTCGAACACAAAGACACACTAACGTGAGTCAGTGGATGTGAAAGACGTAATCTACAGCACACTAGTTGCTTCTTCCATCTCACCCAATTATAGAAAGTACCGAGAAAAACGTTGTTAGGCTTACTAATTAAAAGAATATGAAAACAAACTGACGTTTACAAATTCGCACGTAGATCCGACTTCGCATCGGGAAAAAGATTGCACAATTTTGAGATAAATAATAAATCGCGACGATTCCTACGGAATTTTGACGTAAAACGCCGCACTAATAGATATTTTAATGAACACGGTACTTTTTTGAGATACGTAATAGTTGTGATTTAAATGGCTGCTTCGCGTTGGAGAGATTTTATTTTTCACGAAATAATTATCTCAATAAAACCGCGCGTGCAGGACATAACGTGATTAGCGCTCAGGAACAAGTTCGATTGATGGCCATGACGGGAATATCATGGATGCAAAAGGGGACTGACATTTTGGGGTTGCAAGATCGCTGAAATACGAATAAATATCGCGGAAATTGGTGAAACGAATTCACCAGCGCAAGCGCGCGCCGCAATTTTCGTTGCTGGATACAAATTATTGATCTTTCGAACGCTCAAAAGAATTTACATTCATATGTTTTTAATTATCTTAACCGCATAAAAAACTCGGCCGTTTGGTCAATGAAAAATTCTCCATCCGCAGTTTTCACAGATAATAGCTGTTTGATATTGAATATACGGTCACGTTTCATTTACGTGAAATTTAATAAAAACAATACTTTTCACTGAAAAGTAATCAAGCTTTATTTATAACAAATTTTTTTATTTTTAAATCTGTTAACTTTGATAACAAATATTATCAATAAATATCACTGTTGCACGAGGCTTCAAATAATTTAATTTACTGTAATAGTATTTTCTACGTCAGTCTCAAATGTCTGCCTTGTTGCTTTATTTCAAATATTTTTTGAACCATTTTTTAAACATATTTTCGAGTTTTGTAATATTAATTCAGACTGTTTACTTACGTAACGTGTATTAAAACATGTGGTGCAATTATTAATTAGATTATTAAACAATAATTTTTAGAACAAATACATCACACACAATTAATTTACAAATTCAAACTGTAAAATTATAGAAATATTCCGTATTAACATGTGTACATACACATATGCAAAGCTTATATAAAGAATTTAGAAATACCACAAGTATCTATCGTCGGGCCTGTCAATATTGCAACATCAACAATTTCCGGCACGATTCACCGGAAACACAGCAATGTATTTTTAAAGAAATAGTAGGCTAAGAAAGAAAGAAGAAAGAGAGAAAAGGGGGAAGAACAGGAGACTGAACGAAGAGCGAGAAGGAGAACAGACGATGAACAGACGCGAACTCTCTATGATGTACGCTTATAGCACGGGGCGGGCGCAAAATTAACCGCGGCTATTTCCGAGCGGCTTGTTCCTGCACTTTTCTTTTTTATACCTTCGTGGAAATCGTTTCGTTTGCTTTTCGAGGCGGACGTATTCCATCGACTCGCACACACTCGACGCAAGCGTCGTTGCTCCCTTTTCCGCGCGAAGTCACGGAGCACGTTGCAATTGCAGCAGCACTGACTGTACAAAATGCTTCGCGCACAAGTAAATATACTCGAATGACGCAGTAAAATTACAAAACTGTGACAAAAGTTGTGAGAGCATGTAAATTGCAAGAAATTAGAAAATTGATAATTATGCAAATAGGAAACATGTGCCGGACCAATCTGAGAAATGTTTATCTTCAGAAGACATAACTTGCCCCAATTTGATTGCGATAATGTACATTAAATTGTTTTTAAACAGTTTTACAGCAATTATGAAAATAGGAAGCAGAAAACTGCTTTGAATTAATATGACATCTGCTTCTTTTGCGATACACATTAATTTCATTCATTATACATATCATTTTCATAAATTTATTATTAGCAAAATGATTTACTAGACATTCGCGTCGTAGCATATTATAATTTTCGTAAGCTTTTATTAATTAAAGTACGGAAAAGAAACGTTTAATGCAAAATGCAGCACCGATTTTTTCCTTCTCTCTTTCGCGCGGCGAGTCGCCTCTTGGCCTCGATCCCGATTTGCAGCAAAATTATCGCGCGAAACTTGACATCAGCCTAAATTCTTTTTGCTCACGTCGGTGAGCGCATTTTCGATCGTGGCTAATCTTAATATGCACGAAACTCAACGATATGGAGTGTGACTGGAATAGAATCGCGTACACAGAATTTTGAGCCTGACTGTAGGCGGACTAAGACTATTTTTGCCTCTATTTTCCCTGTCGTTTGTCGTTTTAATTATACTGTTCCCTTTTGCTCATTTCGTTTTGGAAGAATGTAAATTCTCCCTACGTCCAACTGTTTCGATAAAAATGTCAGGCACATTGTACATTTGAAAACCTACTTTGTCATAAAAGATTATTCAGGAACTCATTTGAAATGACCTTGCATCGTATTAAAAAATAATTTTTTCGTATTTGTAAAATCTGACAAGAGAATATTAAAATTTTTGTGGAATTCTAACGCGCTAACTGATACCTACAGTGAAAATCGGTTTATTTCAAGCGTTAGAACATTTTTACTACAATACAAGATTTGCTCGCTTTGTTTCTCGGAAATATTACTTTATATAATGGTACATTTCAAACGTATTTTTCAAGAAAATTAAAAACTTTTGCTCTTTGCATTTCATTAATTTTATTAATTTTTATATTCTGATAAGTAAAAAAATTTGTCACGTTGTAAAAACTATATAAATTTACCTGGCATGTAAATTGGTAAGTAAAATAACAAATACGAGTTTGC